TTGATTGTATGGAATATAATCACTTTTGGTACCCGTTTATATCATACGAACTCCACATGTGAGAGAAAGATGATCATAAGATGCGTTTGTCAGATTGTGGTGCATCAAAAGCTGTAGACAAAAACAAGTACAAACTATAGCACATTCTATGAAATCTAGATGGTTATGTTGAATTTGACCCCATAAGGGTGGAGGTGTAAGAAGATACATAATTGTGGGGTAGATGTAATTATCCAAACAATAGGAGAATTATCGTAATTTGATCATACCTCAGGGATGGTTGTAATTTACCCTAAAAATAAAATAAATTGCCCTATAATTTAATGATGACCAATGGGCCAATTGAGCTGAATTTGATGGGCTGAAGCCACAAACTGAGCCCGAAACTGATTACTCATGACTCGACTCATTGGACTCAGTATTATACAAAATTCTTCAGCCGAACCAGGAATTGAGACGGCGGAAGGCGATCTTCCTCCGCCGCGGCCAGCCGAGAGTCTACCGCCGCCGATCCACTGGTTTATAGCTTTGGTTCACGAACGAGCTGGTTAATTAAGCTCTTCGATTCTTATAAGGTACATTGACTCAATTTTGCCCTAATCAGTAAATTTTTGTTTGTAAAGATTCGATTTTGAGTTTTTGATTCCTGGTTTCGTGTAAAAAAATATGGAGAAGAAGAATCTGAAAATGAATTAGGGTTTTAATGTTTAATGAATTTAATTAAATAGCAATTAGAAAATGTTGTGTTTTGTTTCAATTAAACATTCCTTTAATCTGAGAGAAACTCATTGTTGTTTGTTTGTTAGAAGAATTTAAGTGCTGTGCAAGAACAATGGCTGCTTCTGCAGAAGTAATCGGCCCCGAAAAATCGAGTCCGACCGAAGAATGGACCGTCGTGCTGCCGCGTCGCGGCAAAAAGAACAAACTCGTAATCCCGAAACGAGAAAAAGAAGTGCAACTATGGAAGCCGCTAGACCTCGAAACGGATCCCGAACGAGAGTCGAAGCTTTTGCAGAAGATGCGTATTTGTATCGAGAAACTCGAGAACTCCGAATTTTGCAATTCCTTATTCGCCCAAATGCAGGATCCCGAAGTTTCGGATAAATTTCTCAAACTTTCGGGCACCGGAAAAAAGATGGAGATGGTAATTTACGGTATTGGCAGCATTGAATCGTTCGAATCCCCTCGATTGCAGCTCGGTCTCGCCATTTTAATAAAGAGGAAACTCGATTGGATTGGAGAAATACAAGTGTTCGATCCGATAATTTCCATGACAGAATCGAAGGTTTTGACTTCACTAGGTTGCTCTGTTCTATCGATAAACGAGCAAGGTCGAAGAAAAGCTATTGAGCCTACTCTGTTCTTTATGCCGCACTGCGAGGCGGAATTGTACGACAATTTATTGGAAGCGAATTGGGGAGCCGATAATTTGAATCGGGTTGTGATTTTCGGGAATAGTTTCGGTGAATATGAGCGGATTGTGTCTCTTAGTCAGAGGTCGATTCGGAAACATTCGTGGAGGCATATTTTGGCTGTTAAGGGAATTACTGAAGAGTTTGGAATCGATACTTCATTTTCCGATGAATTTTTTCGAGCATTTAATGGTTCGAGTTGGCATTTTTTCAGCTCCGGTAATGGGGCTCATTTGGAGAAGATGTAAATCATGATAGGTTTTTTTATTTGTGTAATTTGTTTGATACTAATCATATTTGTATTTGTGTATCAGATCTTATATCTGGTGAAATACATTATTGCGGTTTTAAGCCATAGATTCATCATAAATAACTACTCACTAAGCACACATACAAATGGGTCTGTGTGTCATTATGTGTAAATCAATGTCCTAAAGCCACATAGTATATTTCATTGGATGCAGGTTCTACAAAATTATTATGTAACATATATCCAAATTTTGCAACAAAATTACACTTAGCTACTTCATTATGAATTTATAAAAAAGTAAATGGGTAAATTACACCCACCCCTTGAGATATGATAAAATTACGAAAACCCCCTTAACTATACATTTTCTTACACATCTACCCTTGCAGTTTCAAATTTAGTGGAATTTTCTTGATTGTATGGAATATTCTCAATTTTGTACCGGTTTTATTCCATCCGACCTCCACATTTTGAAGCAAGGTGATCATAAGATGTATTTTTTGGCTTGTATATATCAGATTGTGGTGCATCAGAAACTGTATTTTTGTTGGTATAATTAATAACAATCTGCGTAAACGAAAAATACTTACTTATTTGTCGAAAAGAGGAATTGTGAAAAACACAAAGAACGATCGAGGCTTGCCAAATCAATTCCCTTAAGACAATATTTCCGGGCTGTCAACGGTGCACAGTCTCTTCCCGGTAGTCTCCTAAGGTACAACGATCGGTTGTCGAATATTTGCACGAATATTAGACCCACGGTGAACTTGAACAACAAACGAAACTTTGACGAAGAGAAAGAAGAATGTGAAGAACTATCTCATAATTGCCGATTAAATTCAGTACAGAATTGGCCATATTCTGCCTTTATTTATAGGCGGTGGAGATCCATTCATGGAGGGTCGCAATGGTTGAAGAAGAAACAGAAGGTTGTGTCTGTTCTTTTTACGAGTTCAAAAAACGTAAGAAAATTAATTGGTCATGGGCCAATTAATTAAATATTTGGTTTGAGCCAAATATTTTATTATTTAGATTTTGGGTCAATTAATTTGACTAATTACTAAATGTCCCCACAAGTAATATTTGTGGACATCTAAACCCAAACTAGTCCTATCACTCGATCACATCGAGCGCACATCTTTTTGAACTTTAACCATTTACTCAACACAATTTTCATTCACTTTACTTCATGATTATGATCAAGTAAATAAATGAAATTAATCTTTACATAATTTAATTAATATTACTCAATATTAATTATTGAAAATCATGAAAATACCAACAATTTTAACGTGTACAAACTAGAGCACATTCCACGGAATCTAGATGATTATGTTGAATTTGACACCATAAGGATGGAGGTGTAAGAAGATTCATAGTCAAAGGATAAATGTAATTATCCAAACAAGAGAGAGCTTTTCGTAATTTGACCATACCTCAACGGGGTGGTTGTAATTTACCCAGAAGTAAATATTTGTATGTATGAAATTCTCTCTTTTTCTATAATTGTTCAAAAACTTTTTTTTTTAACTATTAAGTATTATAATTAAAATATGTACATTCATTTGTAACTCCATTGTTTCTTTTTCTTGGTAAATAATATTTGTTTATTTATTTAAACTTAATATATGGATTTTGAGAAAATAAATAAATTATGCGTATGAATTATCTTATATATAAAAAAAAAGAAATGATGGGCAACCTTAAAAATCATAATGGTATTTCTGTAATTATTTATTTTTAATATTTTTCTCTACTAATTTCTAATCATAATTTTCAACAATTATCAAAATTAAAACTAAACCGTGAAGAATCCTTCTCCTATTTTTCATCGATATATCTCAAAAATCTTAAGAGATAAAATATAGAAATTCGATTTGTTAAATCTTAGTATGTAACATTTATAATAACTACATTATTAATCTTTTCTATGTTAGTGTACTGTATTTTCTCATTATATATTAAATTGATTATTCTCTTTTCACTTTTAAAATAATATCCCGTGCATCGCACGGAGAAAAAAATGCTAGTATTCTATACAAATAGGAAAAACACAATACATAAAAAGTAAAAACACATGCTTGCTTGAAAGTATAATAATATATTTACGTTCCTTTGTTTTTATTTTATTTGAGTTTAGACAAATGATTTTTGAAAATTCTTATGTTCATATTTAAACAAGTAATTATCACTAATAATATCAGTCTAGTGCAAGTTGACTTATGATGTTTACATTTTTTTCTTCTTCACATTTTGTTGGTTATACTTACAAGTCTACAACTAATATATTTTAACAACTAGTACATCGCTAACTAAAGATGAGAAAATCTAATTCAAAAGGAAATTTGAAAAACTAATAAAAGTAATTTTATTGTTTACATATATTTTTATTATAACAAGTAAGATTAGATTTTTTTTAAAGTATTAATTAATAAAAGATAAATGAATGCATATACACATGTTTTTCTTAAACGAAACTTAACGAAGTGGCAAATAACGTCTTTTATATAATTTGGGTTATTAAAAGTACGATAACTTTTATAACTTTCAATCATTTGCCAATTTTACTTTTCAGTAGAACATCGATAAATTAATAATCTCGCTTAAATAATAACTTTTCTGATTCCGATTCATTTATAATGTGAAGTTATTAATTAAATAATTTAATATTTTGCTGAATTAATAGACTTTTATTAGTCCCAACTCTATTAATTTATAGAGGTTTAATTAAAGTTTGTTTATTTGTTCCTTCAACGGTAAACAACAAAAAAGTTAAATAGGCAATCAAATATAAATTGGAATAATTGAGTATACTTTTTTTTATTATGTTTTACCCATGCTTTCTTGGTTCCATGGTTTAAGTTACAATATGAAAAGTTTATTATTTATATAGTTTAAACTTTAATATATAATATTAACTACAATATTTTATTTGAATCATGTTTCTTAGATAGTATTTGTTGGAATATATACTATCTATATATTTTCCTCTTTTTGCTTTATCTTTTTAATAGATATGAAAAATAAATCTTCACTTTTCATTATTATATTATTTTCTAAGCATTAGAGTGCAAGGGTGTGCATAATATAATATTTCATTTATTCTAATAATCAAGAAATCTAATTTTAGTAATTTTACATGCATTGTGACACATAAAATAAATCTCATATATCTAATTCTAGTAATATTCTTAGAAATCTTGCTTTAATACATAATACATACATGGTGTGATGATTCGTCAACATGATATTTTGACTTTTTGACTTCATAATCATTTATTGCTTAGCTTAATTATCTACAATTAGTCAACTTATACAAAAAAAAAATATAAAAAGAATAAAAAGATTAAATGTAAAAAGGATTATATTTTTAGCATTTTATTGCTAAACGTTACGAGTTGAATTCACCGTCCAAAAAGTTGAATATCTATTAAATAAAAAGTAAAAATTGGGCACGAAATTTCACATGAAAAAATTCTATATAAACCCTAATTTTATATTATTTTTTTCACTACCATGCAAATACATTTCTAAATTGTTTTAAATTCCATATACATTATAATTGAATTTTCAATTATTTCAATTGCGTTTTTGCCAAACATGGCACAAAAGATTCATGTGTTACTTGTTGAGCCAGATAGTAAAGATCATGACAAAACTTTGAATATGTTGCATTACTACTCTTATGAAGGTATATTAATCAAACTTAATTATCTTTGGATCTTTTAATTTATATATATGTATAATAATTAGTAGCAAAAATAATGAAATTAATTGGAGTTGTATTGCTACATCAAAATTAAATTTGATTGTTATGAAGTCGTCTTCGTAACGACTATATTTTTAATTTAAATTTTTATTTCGCGCCAAAATTTTAATCGACGTCATCTTTACGTTTTCTTATTATATCACATAAACAGAAAACCGTTAAATACATTTTGATGAAAAATCGCTCTTTATATTGACAAGATCGCCAAAATTTTATGATCCGTTCTGTCGTTTATTGCATGTTTTCGTACGTTAAACTAGTATTTTATAATTAAGATTTTGTTTATGCATGTTTTATTTTTAATCTGTCCTAATTTTGTTTGATTAATTACACTAATGACATGTTTCTTGTTCATTTATACAGATCGAATATATAATTAATATCTCTTGAACTTTTTTTTTCTTTTCTAAAATTGTCGAGATAATTAATTACTTTATCGATTTTTTTTTCTTCTCTTTCAGTTACTCCGGTTAAGCTTGCATCAAGCGCGCTATCGATTTTATCAAAAGATAAGGTTAAATTCGATCTCGTGGTGGCGAACCTGAATTCACCCGACTCGTGTGGCCTCCAACTTCTACAAGATGTTGTCAAAAGGGATTTGCTTTTGATTCGTGAGTTTTTAATTTCTTGATTTTTTTTAATTATAACTTTTACGAACTCGAGTTCGATAATTTACATATTAACTCCAATTTTTTTTTATTTGTTTATTTATATAAATAGTGATGTCGAACGACGATGATCCCGTGGTAATTACGAGGGCTATCGAGCAAGGAGCATTTCTATGCATCAAAAAGCCGGTTACGATGCAGATAGCCGGATACCTATGGCAACATGTGTTGAGCCAGAAAGTGAGTCGACTCAAAGAAAACGAGCGAGTCGGGGATTTCATAATCGAATTCGGAAATCAACTAGACAATGCTCAAGAAATACAAGAATCAAAGAAAAATAATGTGATGAATTTTATTAATGGAAGCACTTCACAAAACGACAGCGTTTTGGTCAAAAAGAAGGTTTGGGCTGAGTGGAGTGATGAACTTCACCAAAAATTTATGGTTGCAGCCATTGAACTTGGTGATGGAAGTATGTTTCTCGAATTCATTTTTTTTCAATTTAATTATTTCACATTAATTAATTAATAATTATTACAAATTTAATTTTTTGTTTTTGTTTTTTGGTGGAAATATATTTATTTATTGAAAATTAATTAGGATGCTATCCGAAGGAGATTCTTGAAAGAATGAACGTACCAGAACTCACAAGAATGCAAGTGGCAAGTCATCTTCAGGTTGGTTTTTATTTATAATTAAGCATTGCATTAATTAAATGATTATGCTTTAATTTTTTCATTTCCTAGTTAAGATTGATTAGTATTTTAATTAATTAGGATTTAGACTAAGATTCTAGTTATTTAATTTAGATAATTATTATCTTTCTTGTTGGAGATGAATTAGTTTTTTATTTTATTTTTATTTTTATATATATTTAAAATTTAAATAGCTTTCTTTTGTTAGGGTTTCATTATCAAGAAAATTACCGTTGAAAAGATCTTACGTTGTCGTACGAAATATTACGAGTAGTTACCAAAAGTTGATTTGTATAACGAGAATTTGAAAACTTCCGTACGTAAATTAGAAAATAACGAAACGAGCGTTTCATTATCAATGTATAGTCGATATGTTAATGAATATTCGTTCTACTTTTTACAGAAATGCCGCAATGCTAAGTGGCTACCTCCCGGCAAGAGAAAATCGAAACAAGATAATCATAATACGGAGACAGTAACAACGGCCCCAAAACCCAAAGTCGGAAGGTCAAGAACCGAGAGATTCGGATCGATGCCTCGTTTGGATGACTACACCAAGTCCCATTTGGCCCAAAAATACCAACAAGAGATGAACAATCAAGAATTCGCTATCGACAATCCACCGATGATAGAATCCAACAATATGCATGGAAATTTCAATCCGGGCGTCGAAGGGTATAACAGTCAACTTCTTCTCGGTCACGACAATACTAATTACCCTTTTGCTCTAGACAACAACGATGCATTCAACATGGGACAAATCGGAGAAACCTTCGGCATCGACGACGAGCAATTAATCATGTACGGTTTCCAAAACGCGACTCCTAATAGTGATGACGTCACTAACTCCATGGGATTAGGAATGGACTACAATGGAAGCTTCCAATCACTTGTTCTTGATGCTGATGTGAACTTCAACCAAGTAATTAATTAATTAGCATTATTATTTTCTATTTTTTTCTATTACATTCTTTTTAATTCATTAGTTATTTAATTTATTAATTTTGTTTCATATTTGTTTTGCAGATGTCTATTGTGGGTAATGCAATCAATGAGTGGGGTGAGGGGGAAGAATCAATGAAAGATGAAGAAATTGATGGCTAGATCTATGGGGAAGAATAACGTGGCATATTATATTATATTATATAGTTAATTAAGTTAAAGATAATAAATGATATTAATTAATAAATAAATAAATAATTATGATGTATAAGTTAATTAGAGCTACTTAGATAGAGTAGCTCAATCATGTAATGAGGGATTTTAATTTCCTCTTACTACGTATTTTATGTAATAAAACTAATGTAGACTTATTATAGTATAAAGTATTTTATTTTATTATGCCTTCATTAATTAAATTTTAGCAAAATTAGACGTATTGCTTGGGTTTTGTAGATGTTACACTCGGTGAAATACACTGGGTAATTTTATATCTTTGTTTATATCGTTGTTCTTCGCATAATAACACACATATTCGTGTATATGTGTATTTAGTGGCTAGTTATTTATGTAGTACTATGGTGCAAAATTACTCGTTGTTTTCATCTAACGGGTAGTTACTTATATAGATCATGCATGCAGTTAATTTTAACTGTAAATAGTAGTGAGACGTCCCATTGTTCGGGTGTACCGTGTACGGGTGGAAATTGGAACGAAATTTTCGATTCCCGCCGATTCCAATTCGAAACTTTCTATTTCTGGAACAATATTTTTCAATCCAAATTTCCGACTTTCATTTTTTCCGAAATTATTTGGATCAGAAATGGAATATGAATAAGATTCTAATTTCTGACCCGATTTAAGTTCTGAAAATAATTTCAAAAATTTCGATTTTTTCCCGAATATTACACTTAAAATACCAATATTATTATGTATTTTATATTTTAGGTGACCAAAAAATGAAAATTTCCAAATTACGCCAATTCTGCTCCAAAATTTTCCAGTTTTTGAACAATTTTATTTCCTTCCAATTTTCGATATTCTGATTTCCGATTTGTTCTAAACAAAATTGGAACTAGTTTTCACTTCTGAAAAAAAAACACAAAATCCCAAAAAAAAATAAAAAAATAAAATCGGCGAGATTCAGAAACTCCGTTTGTAATTTCACGTGACAAGTATTGAATTATTAACATCCAACCAAACATTTTTCTTTTAAGAAAACAAAAAAGTAAAATAATAATATGACAAGTAATGATTAATGAAGTAATTAATTAACATCCAACCAAAAAAAATTCTCGAAAGAAAACAAAAAATACAATACATATATTCTCACCCCCCCCTCGCCCCCCCTCGTTCCAAAAGGTGATATCATCACCTCTGCATTTTCATTTCATTCAAAAAAAACTTTATACAAAAAGAAAATAACAAATTCCATCTCTCTCTCTCTCTCTCTAGAAAGTTTTCTCTTTCTACCAACGTCTCCATTTCCGGCCAAAGGAAATCAGCTCCGATCACCCTCCGCCGCCGCCGCTTCCGCCTTAAAACCCCTGCGATTCTCTCGACCCGTGATTAATTCGATGGCTGATCGTAAGAATCAAGGAGCGGGGACGAAACCCCAAATCAACACCAAAATCAACAACCCTAATTCGGTTTTCAATCGGTCGATGACGGTTAATTACTCGTCGTCGGAGGCGGCGGCGGCGGCGGCGTCGGTGAACAAGCCGCTGTACAACCTCTCCACGTCGGCGGCGTTCCAGCGCAACGGCTCGATCAAAAGCCTGTACAGCTCCCCGTTCGGCTCCATGGTCTCCGCCGGAAATTCCTTCAGGGGAAAGGTCAGGAAACTCTGCTCTATTTTCGAATCCCCAAAACACCCCTCTTCCACCGCGAATTTACAGACCTCGCCATTGCCCTCCCCCAAATCCACACCGGACGCAATTTCCCAAAATACCCCCGATCCCTCAATCCGCCTCCCTGGATCGGAGGACAGGATCGTAATTTACTTCACCAGCCTCCGCGGCATCAGGAGAACGTTCCAGGATTGCCACAGCATACGCATGATCTTCCGAGGGTTTCGCGTAAACGTAGACGAGAGAGATATCTCGATGGACATCGCATACAAGAAGGAATTGCAGAAAGTGCTCGGCCAGAGCAGCTTCACATTGCCGCAGGTGTTCGTAAAGGGGAAGTACATCGGAGGAGCCGACGTCGTCAAGCAGTTTCTCGAGACCGGCGAGCTGGCGAAGATGGTCAAGGGTATCCCTCTGCGCGCCATGGGCCCGTGTGAAGGTTGCGACGACATGAGGTTTCTGCCGTGTGCGAACTGCAGCGGCAGCCGCAAGGTGTTTGATGAAGACGACGAGCTGGTCAAGAGGTGCTCCGACTGCAACGAAAACGGGCTCGTTCGATGCCCGCTCTGCTGTTCTTGACCGGCGAAAATACGTGAGTTGGGATGTATTGATTTTTTTTTTCTTTCTGTGGATAGTTTTTAGTTGAATATTGTGATGCAAGGATTAAAACATAAAAAAAGAATGCGGTTTCTTTGATGACAGAGGGAAAATCGGGTTTTTGTACATAGTTTGTTTGTGTGCCGAACTTAGGTGAATTGAATTGTTCGTTCGTTCACCTTGGTGGTTGGTCTTTTTTTTTAATACCTTGTATTGTATTGAAAATGTAATGATAAACTATACCATACTGAATATTTAACAAGATCCACCAATTTGACTAAATACAATCTTGATATATTCATCTCGTTTTTTCTTGTCCTCAAAGAACTCGTTTTTACGTTTTTTTTTTTTGAATAGTTGTGTGTGAGAACGTGTTTATCGGGCTTGTTCTTTTCCAGGCTACAAATTGAGTTTCATTTGTTTGCCTAATAGTTAAACTATTTGAAGCTGCTTGCTTCATTAATTAGGTAAAGATTGATGTCGGATACGAGACTCAGGTTATGCTGCTGCTGCATATATTATTAGTGATATATAATTTTGTGATCCCAATTGAATCGTTGCTCTAATCTAAACTAGTTTCGAGTTTCGCTTTGTCTTTTTCTTTATTTTATTTTTCAGTGGTTGCTTCCCATTCTTGAATGTTTCGTGTTCGAATTTCGATCGTATACAATTTTCTGCTAGTAATATTTCTTTTGCATGACGACTTGTTTGCTTATTATTGTTTTAAGTAGATTCTTGATCTTGTAATTATGGAATATTCAGTGACAAATCTTTATAGGTAAGATTCTGTTCTGGTGATCGATCTGTGCTTAATTGTATGCACCACCACTCGATCAGTCGATGCGAAAATTTTAATTGTTACCTATGAACTTACTAATTTTGATTAGTATTGTCAGGTGAGTTTGAGTTCATATATATTTGAAAGTAAGGGCATATTTGAGTTTTATTAATTGCTGATAATAGCTGTTGCTTTTCTTGTGCTCTTAGTTACGAGATTTTAATTTAAATTTGTATCTATTTAGACTAATTGCAATTTGTATAGGGTTTCATCTAAATTACATTATTAGTTTTGGAAAAAGTTTTGATTTTTTTTTTCTTTTTTTTCCAGCCACTTATTAGCATCTAAATTTAAAAGGGTAAATTAAAACTACCTCAGATCAATTTACAAAAAAACCCGTCTTGTTTGGATAATTACATCAATCCCCCAACTATGATTTTTTCTTCCACCTCCACCCTTATGGTGTCAAATTCAACATAATCATCTAAATTTCGTGGAATGTGCTCTAGTTTGTACTCCCTTTGTGTAAAAATACAGTTTCTAATGCACCACAGTCTGATATATATACTAGCCAAAAAACACATATTATGATCATCTTGCTTCAAAATGTTGAGTTCGAATGTGATAAAACGAGTATGAAAGTGATAATATTCTATATAATCTCGAAGATTCCACTAAATTTAAACCGTAAGGGTGGACGTGTAAGAGTATTTATAGTTAATGGGTGATTGTAATCACAGAAACAGGAGGAAGATTTTCGTAATTTGACTATACCTCAGGGGTGATTGTAATTACCCAAATTAAAAAAAAAACACATTCAAGAACTATTAAGTGGAATAGTTCCAAGAGAATGTAATTGAGTTACCTTTCCATTTTGTACATGGATCGATTTCGACGGCATTTATGACCATGGCAATAGTACCGGCTAAAACACAATACGCGGGATCGGGTTGTGTCTGAAAATGAGTAATCAACTTGATAAATCCTTCCGTATTTCCATTCATAATAAGGGCCTCGATCGGTAAATAGTTTCTGCATGCATTTGGGAAAAAAATGTAGAGGAAAGATCAATCACTTGAAAGTACATAATTGTAGATTTTTACGACACAGAAAATTCACGAGCTTGTGGCATGCATATGTTATATATACTACATCTGATCAATAGAAGAGTTGTAACTACAAAATGGGGAAAAGAGCCAAAACGATTTTGGCCTCAAGTAGTGTATTGGAGTATTCATCAATCATTATATATTAGGGGCAATATGCCGAAAACCATCCATTGGATTTTTTATTCTTGATAAATTCATAATTTATTAATGGTATTTGACATAAATTCAATGGGCTTGAAAACCCATATATGCCCCCACTTATTAGTATAATTAATATAATTATTTAAATTAAAAAAAAAATTATATACATAATCTACACCCAAATCTTTTCCATAATTTATATCCCCAAATCACGCTTCACATTTATGCCCTTATTTCTTTTCTTATTCTCGATTTCGTCATAAAAAAATTGATTTTGTTTCTAAAAAAGTTTATTTTTCATTTTCTTAATTTTGGTTTTTTATTTTTTATATTGTTGTTTCTCAATTAAATTAAAAAAAAAATTGTTTTTAACAAATTGAAATTCACTATAAATCTACAAAAAACCACTATATGTGATCATAGACTCATAGTATTCCATTAAGAAAATTCATTATAAACTTATGGAAAATCTCTATGTAATTAATAAAAACTACTATATAATTAATGAAAATCACTCTGTAAATTAACGAAAATCACTATGTAATTAGCAAATTCCATTACAAAAATTCACTCAAAACTTATCAATTAACAAAAATCACTCTATAATTAATGAAAACAAGTCTGTAATTAACGAAAATCACTATGTAATTAACAAATCCATTACAAAAATTCACTGAAAACTTATCATTTACGAAAACGACTATGTAATTAATGAAAACCACTCTGCGTGCAAAACCCAATTTGCGTGCAAAAACCACTATTTCTTTTAACTTTGAAATCCGGCATTGTGTCAAATCCACTTTGTAATTTGAAAGGATCGATCGACTAGATGCTAAAAACCACATAACAATGGGGGAGAAAAACCGTGTGCATTCATATTAACATTATTTCGAACGGTGTTAAAACCACGACTATTATGCACTTACACATTAGCGTAAAAAGTTCGAAAATCACTCTGTAATTTCTTCAGACGAACTTCCTTCTTTGCCACATATGACACCTCTTGATTTCTATACTAATGATTCACAAAACAACACATGAATGCCCCTGTCCTTAACATCTAAATGACGAATAATCAACACTCATGAAACATTCCACTATTACCGATAAACAAACAAGAATGGAACAGACGATTGCTAATGGCATCTAATTGAGGAGGCTGCACGGCGGCGGAGAGAGAGCAAATAAGGCCGCGACGGTGGAGAGGTAAGAGAAATGGGCCAACAACGCGAGAGTGGTGCAGGGCCAATTCCATCTGTGGTGGAGCGGGAGATCTCGCCAGGAGGAGTAGGACGGAGAAGGCTTCGTTGTTTGGTGGGGCAGCGGTGCTGTGGATGTAGTGAGAAGATAGAAGGAACCATCGTGATGCAAATATAAGATCTAGGGTTTGGGAAATAACTTAATATAAAATAAAAAGAAAATTGATATCAGAAAGGGTATAATCGTGAAAATATATTTATTTGTATTAATTAAAATTATTTTGGATTTATTATAAAAATGTAATTTTTTTTTTGGACTCATTGTAATTGAAGGAGTCTAATGAGGGGTGTTTGTCAAATTATCCCTATATATTAAATGGGAAATTAGCAAAAAGAAAACACTTCTTAGCTAATATTTCACCCAAATATTATTTCTATAATCCTAAAACTACCCTTAAATTATTTACTATACTATTCTACAACCCTAATCTTATTTTCTCCTCTCCCGTCTCTTCTCTGTTTCTTTTTCTCTCTCTATTCTACTTTTCTCTCTCAATTATGCAGGTTATTCTTTCTTGATCGGAAGATGAAGAACCAACCACCGACATCATCGCCAGAACAACGGTGCCAATCCCCTTGAATTCGTCGTCGTCGTTGTCGTCTCCGTCGCCGCCGCCTTCGCCGTCGGGGTTAATCCATCTTCTATGGCTTTCAATTCCTCTATTGAGACGTCTCCTCTACTCCTCCCACTTTCTACCCCTTTATGGAATTATAACTTTTACAGATCTGAACATAAGCCTTAAGGATGATGATGATTTTGATAGCGATTCTGAATTCAAATGCCAGGATTGCTACATTGACGGCGAAAAAGAGGTAAGATTGTCGATTTATCGCCAGAATCGAATTTTGATGGGTGGTGGTTCTGCTTTGGTTGGTGGTGCGAGTTGTGATTTTATTTATTTATTTGTAATGAAAAAACCGTCATAATATCAAAGTAAGGTGGTGATTGTGTGTTGTGGAGGTGGTGGAGTGATGAAAGAGAGCAGATCTAGGGTTTTTTGGTAGATTAGGCGGATAACGACGCGGGTAGAGAAATTCGCGCAGGCTGAAACCTTAATCGACTACGTACATGTTCAATAGTCGATTAAGCTAATCGACTATGCTCTGGTAGTCAACAATCGACTATGCTCTGATAGTCAATTAAGGTTGATCGACTCCAATTTTGTATTTTTTTTTTGATTTTTTGTTTATTGATTCAAATTGTATAGATCAATTATAATGTTTTTATATTTTTTGTTTTTGTAAAATATAAGGAATTTTGCATTTTTTTTTGCAGTTATGATTTGTTATTTTTAGTAGCAGATTTTTAATGACTTCATCTTGTTTCATTAGGAGATTTTGATTTTTTGAAATAAGATCTCGAAATTCTTTTGAAGAGGACAAAACCAAAGGGTGTGCAGTTGCACACCTTGGACCACATTGGCTACGCCACTCCGGCGACCATCGGCACTTTCATTCCGGGTACGAAGATTTTGCCGCCACCCTCAGCCGCTGCAGCGGAAGTCCGTTGTTCTATGAACAACTCTACTATCTTTGTGGTTACGAGGCTCCAAATGTTCTGTTCTAGAGTGGAACGTTGTCGCGGACTTGTTCACTTAACAATAAATTTTGCGGCCTTCACTTCTTTTCACACATGATGGAAAATGAACAAATGACTTAAGAAGATAAACGAGCTTTATAGGAAAGTACTTGTATTGTATTGCTTGAGTATTTACAATTGCTTGGATTTCTTGGATGCTTACAAATGAACTCCCTACTCCTCTTTATAATATGCCACCTCCTCAATAGATGGTGGGGATCTGTTTGATCTAATGGCTAGAAGTTGTTCACTAGAACACTCCAAAGAATTCCTACAAAATATCTACAAAGGGAGGGTTCTAGAAAGTTTCCTAGAATCCTTTAAGCTACGAATTGATTTTCGTTCGTTTGCCGAGTAGTTAATCAGTTGAAGCTGCTCTTCGATAATTAGGCAACCATTGATTCCGGAAACGAGACTCTGATTATGTTG